AGGTGTTCCTAATAATCCTTTAGGTGAGTGTATGTAAGATTGTGTGTGTGCACACTGCGATGGACTGGTGTCCCATCCAGAGTGTCCCCTGTTTTGTACCCTGTGCTTAATGGAATAAAGGCTCATCAGGACCCAGGACTGGCTAAGCGGTTATGGAACGTGATCCAGATTACAGAATACTGTCCTCCTTTATGGCCACTTGAGAACGGACATGTGAACAAAAGGGCTGCCGTAGTGGTGCAGTCTTGCCATTGCTAAATAGCATGATGATATGCATGGCCTACTTTTATTCTGAGGTTTAAGTAATTAGCCACAACAGCGGTTAGCACCGTTTATTTTCACCCTGTATGGAAATTCTTCTGAATTAGATCTTTGCATCTATGAAATATTCTATTATGTGTGGATATTTCTGTAGTTCATGCTGCTGGGTGTGGTTTCTATGTTGTGTCTAGATCTAAACCCACACATGATAACTTCTGTAATTTCTGGCACGCTATCTGTGTTCCATGCTGTGATGCCCTTGTGGTTGAGATCTATGTGCATGTGACTTTGCTAAAGCTGTAATTTTGCGGTCTCACTCAGTGATTGGTCAGCTTTGTTTTCAACACATTAAGAGAGATTACAAAGTAATCTAATCTACCGTGATGCCAAAGTTAAAGATAACATTGGCTTTAGCTCTAACTATAATACTAACTCTAATAATAACCCTAACCCTAGCTTACATTCTAATAGCAACCTTAACCTTAGGTCTAATCCTTAAGGCAACCATAACCCAATCTCAAACCCTAATGACACCCTAAACTTAACACTAACGCTAACCCTAATACCTGCTTACCAAGGTTTGGAAGTCCTCGGCCAGCCAGAGCAACCAGTCTTCATTGAGTGTGTACAAAGCCTTCCCTGTCACGCAGTCCACCGGACCTTTCAAGGTTTTCTCAACCAGTGCTGACACCAACAAATACAGAGGTTGCCCCACAGACTCCTGAAAAAGCAGACACACATAGATCCAATTAATATGGCTTAATTTAAATCGATAGTCATGCATTCATTGTATGTTTAAGTCAGGAATAAAACAGTTAATTATTTTAATGGGTCATTGACATATTCATATTAACATTTTGGACTGGACATGAATCGTGCAGCCCATTTAATTCATATGCCACCTAAACTTCTGTCACAACAGGACACTTGGGTGAGTTCCAGAACTCTTTTTTGGGAAGTGACAGAAGCGGGTTCAAATCACAAGTGGGGTCACAACCAGGAATCCGTGTGAATCAGGCTACCAAAACCAGGCGTTGATCCAAAGAGGAAGTCGTTAAGCCAGGCGCAGCGAAGTCGTGGAGACGGGAGATCTGTCCGATGACGGAGACAACGCACACAAGGAGAAACCACGGGGTAGATCATGTCATGGTTCTGGACGGCACGGGAACGGGAACGGGGCATGGTGCACAAAGGGGCGGACGACCCACTAGCGGCTCCAGCAAACAAAACAGGGTTTATTAAATATAACAGAAAACACTATAAAACACCAAAACCAAAAGGACCACGGGGGGTCAAACACTAAAGGGAATAAACTAAGACTAAATATTACAAAACTAAAACCAGGAAGGAAAACACAGGACACAGATCTAACCAAGACAATCAATAACACACTCATCGACAAATCAACAACACCAGAACACAATATAGACAATGAACCACTCGGGAACTGAACACAGGCAGGAACTAAAATACTAATGGGTAACGAGACTAACACAGGACAGGTGAGGCTAACAAAACCAAGGAAACAGGGCACAGGTGAAACTAATGAACACAAAAGGAACTGAAAACAGGGAAACTAAGAACTAACCAAGGAAACAGAAACTAACACTGGAATTTAAACATGTAAAGACAATCAGGGGCACAGGGAACAAAACCAACTACAAAATCAGATACAAGAACTAAAGCAACTCAAATGAAAACACTAGGGAGCCAAAATACAAAAACAGGAGGTGGGATTCAAACTCAAGACAGAAGGGTACACAGAACCACATGCTTAACACATTGAGCCACATGACCAGACAGGTAACAGGGAAGAACAAAGACTAACATGAAGGACGGGATGACCAGCAGCACCTGCTGGTCAAACAGGGAAGGGACACGGAAGGACCACAGCAGGGGCTGACCCTGACAAGATCAGGGCTGGGCTGGAGGAGGGTAGGAAGGATCAGGAGGCGCAGGCAGAGGGAGTAGGGAGAGTCGGGCGGAGCTGTCACAAAGACAAGGGTGAGAATCATTCGGAAGTGGCATGACCAACATACCTCGCATGGAGCGATCTCCATGTGGGGTTTAAGTAGCTGGGTAGGCGTGGAGCTAATTAATTGTAGCTGCGCCCTCAGCCGTCATGACAACTTCAGTGTTTCATGTCCACTACAGGGTGTAAACAAAATATATTATTCAATTGTCCATGCAAAAACCAGAACCGGTCACAGAGAGAACTGACGAGCCCAGCTGACCCGCAGGAATCCATAGAGGCAGACGGACATCCAGTTGGTCAACAGCTTCTCCACGATGGACTCTGTACGCCGCAGCAGCAGTTTTGGTTGGACATTGCTGGACTGGTCCATCAGAGCCCTAAGTAGGTCCTGCATCACCTCTGTCAGGTAGGAGAAGTCGGTGTGCAGGGCCAGGGTCAGCAAGGAGGCCACCATGCACCTGAGGAGAGCATGAGGTAGGACTGCATGCGTGATGCGCTCACACTCTCGACACACTCCTGTTGATCACACCATCACCCGTGACCACGGAGTGTGATTGATGACTGGTAGGGAGAAGATGCCAGTGCCAGTGTGTTTGCCAATTTCTCTGTCCCGTTTGCTTGCATTTTTGTTACCGCAGCATTATTTATTGCTATATATTGTCATGACATCTCAGCTCTACTTATGATCACCAAGCTCTTCAAAATATTTAAGCTTTGATGGTGACATGGTCCAGGCACGGGAATGGAGACAATACTTTTAGCTTTCCTCCTTTCCTAATGGATATACCTGAGCACCTGAGACGCCGACAATGTGATGTACACTGCAGGAGACATTCTAGACAGTGGGGGTAATAGGGAGGTGTGTTGGTGAAACTGAAGACTCACCTGGTGGCTGTTAGGGTGTCTGCCCTTAGCCTGTGTGGTGAAGCCGGCCATTACCCTGATGCTGAACATCCCTTGGGCTACAAGTGTTGAGCGTGTTACTTCCCGGCCTGCGAGATGCACCCTATTCACCGGCGCAGCCTCATCTACTGTGGTGAAGTCGGAGAAGCAGGTGTGGCATGGACTTCAGGAACCTTTGCCCTGTGCGCTGTTCCTCAGTCTTGAACAAGGAGGAGTTCACACTTCAGATGGCTCTGTTCAATGATAGATCATTTGCCAGCAAGACTTTCCTGCTTAATGACTTTTTACGTCTTGAGACCTGGATTTTCTGTTTGTAACCGAATCCTGGCTTTGGGCTGGTGAGTTCACCCCTTTCTCAGAACTGCTTCCTCCAAATTGATCGTTTTTTTAGTTCACCTCATCTTGCTGGCAGAGGTGAAAGATTGGCGTCTGTATTTAAAAGCAGCTTCAAATGTCGGCAGATTCAGGGAGGACCTTACTCCAGCTTTGAGCTACAGCTGTTGGAAATAAGCTTCTCCACTCCCATGCCCTGTGCAGTCATCCATTGTCCGCCTAAGTACAATAAATACTTTATATGTGGTTTTGCTGACTTCTTGGCGGGACTTAGGCTAAAGTACGATTGTTTTCTAATTTGCTGTGATTTTAATATCCATGTCTGCTGTAATTCTGGGCCGCTGGTCAAAGAGTTTGTGAACCTTATTGATTTTTTTAAATCTTATTCAGTCAGTGAATGGTACAACAAAGGGTCATACATTAGACCTTGTATTGACTTATGGACTATGTGTATCCATTAGTGAAATTTGTGGTGCACATATATCAGACTATCTACTTGTTTTATTTGTTGATAATTGTCATAATTCTCATGTTCTTTTAATGTTTTTATTCCATTGTAAATCCCCGTGATCATGTTGTTAGTGAGGCATTGCCTAAACGCTGTGAAAGTTTTCTTCACTATTTTATTGATATGATCTCTGTTCTCAGATCTTTATCTGCACCCCTGGTTCTAGAGCCTTCAGCTCCCATGCTGTGTTCTTCTGCTTTTCATCAGTTCAAGCCAGTGCATTGGAAAAAGTTGCATTGATTCAATTGCAAGCTTACTTAAATGAAAATGGCATTTTTGAAAAGTTCCAGGCTGGTTATAATCATAATGGTAATGATCTTCTTTTAACTATTGACTCAAGGAACTGTTATTGTTGGATTTCACTGCTGCTTTTGATACTGATGACTGCAGGATTCTTTTATCATATCTAGAACAATGTGTGGGTATCAAGGGCATAGCACTTAAATGGTCTAGGTCCTTCCTGACTGGTATGAGTTTCTCGGTTCAGCTAGGTGAGCACTCGTCTTCTATAGCACCACTTACTTGTGGAGTTCCTCGAGGCTCAGTTTTGGGCCCTGCACTCTTTTCTTTGTACATGCTGCCCCTGGGGTCCATTTTTAAGAAATATAATATGTCATTACTTTATTTGCCTTTATAAACAGAATGCCAAAGCATTATTACATTGTTTGAAAGAAGTAAAAAAAAGTGGCTCAGTTTAAACTTCTTTAGTCTCAATTACAATAAAACAGAGGTCGTTGTGCTTGGTCAGTCTAAGGCTCAGGATAAGCTGTGCAGCTCTTTTAGCAACTCAATGCCACTCCAGTAGATTAAGCCAGCTGCTAAAAACCTCGGGGTCATTTTTGATAGTTTATCTCTCTTGGCACAATAGCAGCAACTTTCATTTCTGCCAAAATGGGAATTCCAAATAAATGATGGTGATCCATTGCAATATCATGCTTTCCATAAATGCTTTCGAACATGGTGTCAAAAATAAGACTAATAATTAGAGTTATATTGTCAAATATAAATATAAATTGTCTATATTTTCTTTAATAGCATATAAGAGTTCATCCCGGGGAAACTGTCAGAAGTTGCCTGCATGCTGATCCAGAAACCAAGTTTTATTAAAGCTAAGTCTTTGCTACATGAGCAGTTTGGTAATGAGCAAAAAATTGCCTCGTCCTTCATGGAGAAGGTTCTTTCGTGGGCAGTCTGCAGTTTGCTGAAATGGTGTTTTACGTGAATGGAAGACGGCCTTTAACATGCCCACTGGTCATGATGAGTCCTTAGTCATGCCCTTTGGTTTAACTAAAGCCCCGGCTATATTTCAGAATCTGATCAATGATGTCCACCCAGACATGTTGGATAAATTTGTCTTTGTTTATTTAGATGACATTTTGATTTTCTGTCAAGATAAGCAGGAACACATCCAGCACGTCCAAAAGATCCTTCAGCATCTTCTGTCTAACAACTTATATGTCAAAGCTGAGAAATGTGAGTTCCACAAGCTAAACATCTCCTTCCTAAGTTTCATAATAAGAGAAGGATCAATTCAGATGGATCCTGAGAAGGTGCAGGTCATTGCAGAATGGCCCCAACCGCAGACTCGGAAGGAACTACAACGGTTTCTTGGCTTCACCAACTTTCACAGACATTTTATCCATGGATAAATAGCAGCCAACCTTACTGCTCTTACTTCTACTAAGGTTCACTTCAATAGACAGAAGAAGCTCATCAAGCATTTTTTTCTCCTCCGCGAGTGCTTCACTTCCGCACCTATGCCTCATATTCCTGACCCTTCAAAGCAATTTGTGGTAGAGGTAGATGGATCAGGAACTGGGGTAGGGGCTGTGCTGTCCCAAAGGCAAATTATACCTGAGTGCTTATTACTCCCGTAAGCTTGCTCCTGGGGAGGGGAATTATGACATAGGGAACTGGGAACTGCTGGCGGTCAAGTTGGCCATGGAAGAATGGAGACTCTCCAGTGGGGGCACTCAGCCCTCTCTGCCTGCTATCCAGGGGTTCATCACATCAACCCCTGGTTGAACAACAATTTTGGTGGCCTCCAGTATGCCAGGATATCCGCAGTTTTGTGGCCAGCTGTGATGTCTGTGCTTGGAATAAGGCCTCTTCTCAACCCCCGGTGGGTCTCCTGCAACCAGTGTTGTTCATTGAACACGTTCATATTTTTCGTGAATGCTGAACTGAACGAATCAGTTTACAAATTATGAACGTGAACATGAGTGACGTTCGCTCTCGCGAGACTGAACGACCTCACGTTTTATGATGGTGTTGAAATTTGCCAATTACAGGCTAGTATGGCTGGTGCTTCGAGTTCAGACGCTTCTGCTGAAGACAGTTTGTTTAAACATTTGAGTCCATTTTTTGAAGAAATCGGTGTAGAATTAGATAGGAAAAACCACACGTTTTTATGCAAATTATGCCCACCTGGTTTGAAAAAACAAGTCCGGACGTCAGCCACATCTGCATCCAATTTGAAATGACACATCAAGTTAAAGTATCAAAGCAGTTTTAGGGAATACCTTTATCTTAATGATGAGCACAAAAAATTATTAACAAAGCATAAGACCATGAAAAAACAGCAAGTTCACTGTTAGCATAACATGACACGAGTGGTAAGATTGATTCTCAACCTCAGAATTGGTTTTTAATGTAGCTTAATCTTTTTAATGAAACTCATGTCTGTGATTGTTCAGTGGTATATGCCAGATAGAAGGAGAGAACTGAAGGAGGTTCAGGTAGAAAGACGTATTGAAAATGTTAAAAGCAAAAACGAATGAACAACGTGAACTAGTTCATTTTGGGAGCTGTGAACTTAGTTCAGAATTTTAAAAAATGAACTATGAACATGAACTAGTTCATTTTTATTTGAATGAACTGAACTTTGAACCAGTTCTTTTTCAGTGTGAACTGGCACAGCACTGCCTGCAACCCCTATCTGTTCCATATCGCCCCAGTCTCATATGGCATTAGATTTTGTTACTGGATTTTCTCCCTCTCTGGGTTTCACAGGGGTTCTCTCTGTTGATTATCCTTTTTTCTAAGGCTGCTCATTTTGTCCCGATTCCAAGACTGCCCTCTACTAAGGAGATGCTGTATTTGCTAATCGAGCACGTATTCAGATTCCACAGTCTGCCCCTTGACATTGTTTCAGACAGGGGATTGCAGTTTGTCTCCCGCTTCTGGCTGCAGTTTTGCAAACTGATCAGCGCCATGACCATTCTCTCATGGGGTTTCCATCTGTAGTCAAACTTAGTGGGTAAATCAGGACTTGGAGAGAATGCTGCGATTCCTGGCCTCTCACTCTTCACTCCCCATCCACCTAAAGTATCTACCTCCCCTGGGCCGAATACGCCCATAACTCCTTACCAGTGTAATCCACAGGCCTCTCTCCCTTCCAGTGTTGTCTGGGTTATCAGCCACTGCTGTTCCCATCATTAGTGGAGGAGGTTGTCTCATCTGTCCACCGTTTTCTATCTCATTGCAGCTGAACTTGGAGGCTGGCCCAATCGACATTATTGCACGCAAGATCCAGAATGGAGAAATATGAGAATAGATGCCGAACCCAGGGCCCCCTTCTCCAGGTAGGCCAGAAGGTCTGGTTGAGCACAATGGAGCTCTCTTTGCACATCCAGTCACGTAAGTTGGCTCCTTGGTTCATGGGACCTTTTCCCATTACTAAGTTAGTCAACTCCACTGTCAAGGGATACTGTTACAGATCATCCTTGGGGATCCCTGGATGATGTCACAAAGCCTACGCCCCCAGGGAAACCCCAACCAGTCTGATCCTCCTGAATTTGGTGCCCACCCAGGTTACTTGTGGCTGCACTAGTAATTTTCCTCTCCTGTGTAGCTTCACCCTCACAGCTAATTAGAATTGTTCTTATCAGTGGAGTTTATTTTAGTTCATCTGATCTTGTGCTTGGTTGCGAGATCTTCCTGATTCTTCTGGAGTTTGAGCCTTTTCCTAGTTCTCTATTCTACCTGTCTGCCTGCCCATTTCCTGACCCTGCTTTTTGTCTTCAGACCTCAAGACTCGCCATCCCTTCTTGCTAAATTACGCATGACTCTTGATTCTGTCTTGCCGTCCTACTGGCTGATGCTCATCACCAGACCCTCGCACGTCCGTCGACCACAGCTTCGTTTGTGATTTGGATCCTGTTTTGGCTTTTGCTGGTTTGGACTCGGACTGTTCACTATGGCTTTGGATTGCTCCCGAATACACTCTGTTATTCTCACCTGTATCTGTGCAAGTGCCCAACTTAACCAGTCATCATTCCTGACAAGAGGTGGATCCTGTTACATGTTTCACCGATCACATGTCCTCTTAGATTCATTTGAAGAAGGCTGTAGCATGGATTCTTAGATTTAAAATCTTGCTTAGGTCCCTTAGTGAGAAGAAGAGGCAAATGAATGTGGCTTTGGATCTGTGTTTCTGCAAGAATTCTTTAGTTTGCAGAAGAGAGAATGTGTGAAAAGGCATAGTCATATTTACTTGTCTAGGTCTAGCCGTAAGAGCTTTTTATATTGAAATTGCATCTTCACTTGATACAGCTTCATTTGTTAGGACAGGTTGTGGAACTTTGTTCAGATAAAGGGTCAAAATTGGTTGGTGCTGAATGGGAGCTAATGAAGCCATTGAACAATGGAATAATGCATGTATAAATCATGTGCTTTTGCAGAAAGGAATTAAGTGGAGCTTCAATCTGACTACCAGGACAGAGGAATATGGGAAAGGATGATCAGGTCTGTGTGAAAGGTTCTTAATTCCATCTTGACTACACATACTCTTGGTGAAGAGGGTCTACACACAATACTTTGTGAAGTGGAAGCCATCATTAATAGTCATCCAACAACTAAGGCATCCACTGATCCCAATGATTTGGAAGCACTTATGCCTAACCATTTACTTCTAAGGACTTCACCATTTTTACCACCTGGAGTTTTCCAGAAGGAGGACATTTACACTCGGTGCAGGTGGAAACAGACTGAGCATTTCTGGAAATGTTGGGTCAAGGAATACCTGGAATACCTACCACAACTGCAGGAACATTAGAAATGGTCAAATGTGAAGCGAAACTTTGTTCCAGGTGATACAGTGCTTATAATTGACGATACATTTCCTGGTTATTTAAACCTTTCCAGATCATATACACCTTGTGTACAGGGTGCACATTAAGACTAGCTGTCTAGACAGGCCTGTTACCACATTCTGCCTTTTTCAGGAGAAAAAGATTCTCATAAGTTTGAGGACTGACACTGACTTTACTACAGGGTGATGGTAAAGTTCACCCTGTACTGGGCTAAGTGCTAGTAACCTCTGGCCTAGAGGATTCTTTTGTTTCTTGCTTCCAAGATCATGGACCATGTTTGAAGAAGATGGATCAACATGAATTTGACTTGTTTGACATGTTGAAGTGCTGTAATTGTTATTGATATAATAATTAGGGCCTGGAATGTAGGAGCCATACATATATATAAAATGTGTGCATTTTAACTTTATTGTCTTTTGTATGTTTCACTTCTTTTTGGTGCTATATGGTAATTGTCACGTAACAATGTAGTCACCTGTATAGTGGTTAGTGGTGGTGAGTAGGGAGGATATATCTATCCATCCATCCATTCATCCATCCATCTTCCAACCCGCTTATCCTTCTGGGTTGCAGGGTGTCTGGAGCCTATCCCAGAAGCTATGAGCACGAGGTGGTGAACAACCCAGGATGGGGGGCCAGCCCATTGCAGGGCACACTCACACACCATTCACACCTATGGGCAATTTTAGTAACTCCAATTAGCCTCAGCATGTCTTTGTACTGTGGGGGGAAACCGGAGTACCCAGAGGAAACCCCACGACAACATGAGGAAAACATGCAAACTCCACACACGTCACCCAGGCGGAGACTCGAACCCAGCTCCCAGAAGTGTGAGGTAACAGTGCTAACCACTGCACCACCATGCCGCCCCAGGGAGGACATATTTATAATAATAATAAATAATAAAGGATGAAACAAACAGCATTGTGGAACTCCATTTTCTTTAATTTTAACTGCGCGTCATACAGCATGTCGCCTTCTTGCACAGCCTTTTAGCAATATTTGGTTATTTAAGTTGTCACTAAATGTCTGTCCGCATGTCAACAAAGCCTGAGGAAAAGTCAGAGTGAACATAGTAAACGCAGAACTCCACACAGACACAACAGCAGGAGTGTCGCTGAAATGAAAGGTAGCTTAATGGGAGTGTGCAGACATTTATCACACAATAACACACTGAAGAGCCTCTGTGGGACTACTGGGGAGACACGGTCCTGACTGGAAGCAGCCTTGAAGACTGTCCTTGTCAGATCTCATTTCTTGTTTCACATTCCAGAGTCTCTAGATACTTGTCCATGTCTGCAGACAGCTTCTTTTTGAAATGGTAAACCCACAGTAAAACACCTGCCCCATGCAAACACAAAAAACATTTAGCAAATGAATTAGCTTCCTCTATTCAGAACCATATACTGTATGGTCTCGTTAGGAACAGACAGAAAAAGCTGTGAAATACCCAGCTTGGTTTACCCAACAAGCCGGCAGTATGTCAGTATGTTGTTCTCTGCTGTTAGAGCCAGACACTAATATACAGGCCCAGCTTTCTGCATCTGACATAAGCGACTGGCACTGGTACGTGTGGCCT